CTTGCCCACTTCCTCCCGCTTCCTCCTTTTTTACATCCATTGTACCAACTTCCTCCTCCACTGTACCAACTTTCTCTCCTAGCTTATCCACTTTCTCCTCCACCCTTTTCATGCATTCTTCCATCTTGTCAAACCTTGCATAAACGGCTGTTGTAAAACTCTCAAACAAGCCGTTTATGAGGTCAACAACCTTACTCTCCTGACGCCGATGTCTCGACAAAGCGGTACTTGTTGTATCGGTTTGCTAAGGCATACGAACCTCTTCCTCCCTCTTCTCCTCCTCCTCCTCGGACCTCCGACTGATTGGAGCTTCATCCTCGTCGGCATTAACCATGTTGTGAAGCAGTGGCCTCGCAACTGCCATCACATGTGTGACCCCTTTTAGGTCCCGCATCAGGCGGTCTATCCGTTCATCGCTTGCATCCTCCAGTGCGTTGAAAGATTTGACGTAGTCCTCTTTTGCTTTAGCCCCAGTAGCGGTGAGAAAGGGACGGATGAGTCCCTGCAATAAGAAACAAAATCAATCAGATTAACGCGACATTTTAAAGCAGCTGCATATTGAAAAGCTTAGTCCTTTAATCTTATCCCAGCCGATCTCAACCTCTATTTGCTCGTAATCCGAATGGGTGTACCTCTGAACATGCCACCGCAACATCCTAGGAAATTGATTTTGCACATCCAAACTGTTGTCCCCCCCCCCCCCCCCCCCCCTGTCTCTCAGGGATATCCCCTTACATCAAAGTTTACAATGTAAAAAAAAAAAAAAAAAAAAAACAGTCCATATCATAATTCAAACACATATATTACAAAAAATATAATAAAAAGCTATTAATATTTACCTGCATTGCCCATGGGAAGCCAAACAAATTGTATGTGCTTGGTTTATCCTTCCCATCCCATTGGGACTGCTTTAATGCCATGTCTACTTTTTTCAGGCTGTTAATGGTTCGCTCATATGATTTCAGTCACCATGGATAAGAATTAAAGAACTTCAAATTGCTTGCAAACAATAACCAATCTTTTTCAACAGCTTTTGTTGAGTCACCAGCCCATAAGATCGAATGTAAAAACAAAACCAAGCGCACTTTTATCTTCTTTTTATCAGTAAATTCAACTATTTCTAGCCTATTCTCTAATACCTGTGCTGTAATAGACTTAGCCCCCTGCAAAACCTTATCACAAAACTGTATGGCTCCCCGACTATTCTTTACTGCCTCTACCTTCTTATCTGGCACTTCCCCACATCCTAAACTTGTCATCAGGGCATATTCCATCATGCCAAAATGTAGTGGCTTTCCGCCCACCACAAACCATATTTCTTTTCTTTTTTTATTACATCTTACTGAATGTAGCAACATGTAATGCACTCCCTGCCCCCAAAATGCCTTTTTCTAATGATTTCCGAGTCCTAAAAACCAACCGAAACAAGTGCGATTGAAATCTCTTTTACCATGCCTAATTCCATCCAATATTTCCTGTATTATGTTAAAAACTTCCCAACTTGACCTGACTGTCACCCTTGCAGGGAAGTAGGGCACCTTATCGCTTATAAGGTCCAACTCGTACTCTATGATGTTTACAGTCCGCACAATCTGCATAATCGATATAAACAAAATGTCAGCAACAAAAATAAACCAAAACAACTAATAAACAAAATATCAGCAACAAAAAATTATGACTGTGGTCGGTTAAGCGATTTCAGATCGGTTAAGCGATCTTGACTCTGCCTAGTGCAAGATTGCTTAAGCGACCAAGAGTAAATTGAAAGAATCTCTTAAGCGACACAAACGATCGCTTAAGCGATCTTATATCTATGATTCTGGCTCGAAAAGATCACTTAAGCGATCTGAAATCGCTTAAGTGACCAAGAGTCAAGGATCGCTTAAGCGATATCAGCGATCTTAGATCTAGGCAGATGGAGTAAAAGAGGTTAATCGCTTAAGCGATACAAATGATCGCTTAAGCGACAGTTCAGAACGTACCCTTGCTTCGGAATCCTCGCCGGAATCCTCTTGCCCTGAATTCTCGCTGGAGTCCTCCTCCTGGCCTGAATTATCGCCTGACTCCGCGTCTTCAGAACCGTTTGACGATTCTTCCCTCTATTCAAGTGCCGCCGGCATCTCCTCTCCTTGTCGACCAGCTTCACTGATCAGATGATCCACCGGAGCAGCCATTGAACTGCTTGCGCCACCAAAATGTAGGAATCAAAGTGGCGTTGGGTTGTCCTCGTCATTGTGAGTGTCAGCCATGGTTTTGGATTGAATTTGCTGTGAAAATTTGTAGTTTGGATCGGAAATGTGGGTTGTATTGCCGAAAATCATGCAGATTCCGTTTAGGGTTTAAGAAATCGATTTTAGGGTTCAAGAAATCGATAGAAAATAGTGACTTATCACCAGAAATCGCAACTATATTCCGTTTAGGGTTCAAGAAATTGAGTTTACGATTGAATATGGTGTGGAAATTTATGGGTTGGATCGAAAATCGCTTGTCTCCCTTTGGTTCAAGAAATTGATTTTTACCCTAATGAATTTCGATTAAGCGAGGTGAATAGTTAGTGGGGCTTTTTTTTAGAAATTTCAAATTTTAAAAACTTTTATTATGTCTATTCAGCCCAAATATGTTTTCATCCTTTCATTTTAACCCATTTTACGTGTTTAGTTAGTGGGGCTAGGTCACTTAAGCGATCTCTTCCAAAGCAGAATAAAATCTGCCCAAATAGATGATCGCTTAAGCGATCCTCTGGTCTCGCTTAAGCGATTCCTCGCTTTTACTCTTGGTCGCTTAAGTGATTTAGGATTGCTTAAGCAATCTCTTCCCAGGCAGAATAAAATCTGCCCAGATCTATGATCGCTTAAGCGATCCTCTGGTTTCGCTTAAGCGATTCCTCGCTTTTACTCTTGGCCGCTTAAGTTATTTAAGATCGCTTAAGCAATCTCTTCCAAGGCAGAATAAAATCTTCCCAGATAGATGATCGCTTAAGCGATCCTCTAGTCTCACTTAAGCGATTCCTCGCTTTTACTCTTGGTCGCTTAATCGATTTAGGATTGCTTAAGCGATCTCTTCCGAGGCAGAATAAAATTTGCCCATATCTATGATCGCTTAAGCGATCCTCTGGTATCGCTTAAGCGATTCCTCGCTTTTACTCTTGGTCTCTTAAGCGATTTAAGATCGATTAAGCGATCTCTTCCGAGGCAGAATAAAATCTGCCCATATCTATGATCGCTTAAGCGATCCTCTGGTATTGCTTAAGCGATTCCTCGTTTTTACTCTTGGTCGCTTAAGCGATCTCTTCCGAGGCAGAATAAAATCTGTCCAGATCTATGATCGCTTAAGCGATCCTCTGGTATCTCTTAAGCGATTCTTCGGTTTCACTCTTGGTCGCTTAAGCGATTTCAGATCGCTTAAGCGATCATTTGAGAAAAAATCTTGGTCGTTTAAGAGATATATGTGGTCGCTCATATATCGCTTAAGCGATCATGACAAAAAGAGAAGAATCCTACATTTCTCCTGAATTATGTAATAATCTGTCATTTATAACTCATTTTCCTCCCAAATTCGAAAAGAATAAACAGCAAAATGAAGTCATTTATATCAATCTAATCCATCACAGATCAAAATATAAGAGACATCAATGTAATTGAAAGTTTAAACTTAAAATCATTCATAATAGTGCCAAAANGCTCCGAAAAATCTACACAATCGATATAAACAAAATATCAGCAAAAAAAATAAACCAAATCAAATATAAACAAAATACGCTCCGGAAGAATCGCTTAAGCGATGGGCAGATGATTCTGCCTTATACAAGATCTCTTAAGCGATCTGAAATCGCTTAAGCGATACAAAGGATCGCTTAAGAGATTATAGATCTGGGCAGATTTGGTTCTGCCTCGGAAGAGATTGCTTAAGAGATCTTGCACGAGGCAGAATCAACATCTGCCAGATCTAAGATCGCTTAAGCGATTCATCGCTTTTACTCTTAAGCAATCCAAAATAGCTTAAGCGACCAAGAGTAAAATCGCTTAAGAGATCTTGTACGAGGCAGAATCAACATCTGCCAGATCTAAGATCGCTTAAACGATCTTTTATATTGCTTAAGCGATTCATCGCTTTTACTCTTAAGCAATCCAAAATAGCTTAAGCGACCAAGAGTAAAAGCCATTAATCGCTTAAGCGATACAAAGGATCGCTTAAGCGATCTTAGGTCTCGGCAAGTACAAATACCTTTTCTTCGGTGGCCTCCTCCTCCTCCTCTGAACTCTCGCCGGACTCCTCTTCTTGGCCTGAATTCTGCCCGACCTCCTCTTCCTCTTCAGAACCGTTTTACTCTTGTTCTCTCTCTTGTTGTGCCGTCGTTGTCTCCACTGCTGGAACACCTTCACTGATCGGAGGATCCATTGGAGCAGCCATTGAACTGCTTGCGCGGCCGGACTCTACGATTCGAAGAGGCGTTGGGTTTTCCTCCTCATTGTTAATGTCAACCATAGTTTTAAGAAAGGAAGAAGCTTTAGGATTGAATTTGGGTGTGAAAATTTGCCTGAATGTGGACTGTTATCATCAGAAATTGCACAGATGCGTTTAGGGATTGAAGATATCGATTTTTGCCTTAATTGGTTTCGATTAAGCGATTTGAATATTTGGGGCTCTTTTTCAATTTTCGAATTTTAAAAACTTTTATTAATTTTGATTTTGTCCTTATATGTTTTAATCTTTTCATTTTAACATATTTTACATGTTTAATGGATCCTAACTGTGTTACGTCAGCTTCTCTAAATAAATAAAAAAAATAGTAAACAGTTTCAAGGCCATTTTTTTAAATCCAAACTTGGGATGGCCGGTCAGCTAAATTTTCTCGAAAAAGAAGACAGAGAGTTTTTAGAGATTAAAAATAGGTGATGAATCTTAAAGATTGGTATGTGTATTCTACACACGGCTCTCCCTCTATCTCTCTCTCTCAATCGGCCTACGTTCCAGTAGATCTTGTCATTATAATCATTACAATGACATCATGTTACCAGAGGTTCACCGCCGGTCCCGCCGTGTCACACACTACTCTACTTGAATCACGAAAACCTTCACGTACGGCAGTGATTTCATGCCTCTTACGCGATCAGGGAAATCAATGGCCATGGTTCGTCCTGAAATTGCTGAAACAACGTTCGAATTTGTACGTGGCGGGGGCGGGAGGAGTGTGGGAGAGATCAGAGGGGGAGGAAGCGGCGGTGCAGAAGAGGAAGGCGGGGACGTGGTCGTACGCGGTGGAGAAAAGGAGGAGTAAAGGTGAAAGGAGTAGGAAGGTGGAAGTGGTGGTGACAGCAGCGGTTACGGTGGTCCTGGGCATTGGAAATCGAGTGTTGTATAAACTGGCGCTTGTTCCTCTGAAGCATTACCCCTTCTTTCTTGCTCAGCTTGCTACTTTCGGGTACCTAATAATTTTATTTCTCTCTTTTACTATTTTTATTAATTAGTGTTTCCATCATATTTTTTTTTTATATTGATTTGTATAGTATGAGTTTTATTTAAATATTCAAAGAAGAGAATTTATTTTATTTTATTGTATTTCTCATTTTCGGTTTTATTTTATATATTATCCCTTGAAAATCTCATTTTTTTCTTCCTTGTTGCATATAGGAATCTTCCACAACCCATATTGGAATAGTTTATTCAGGTTGGCTTTTTCATTCTTTCTCATTGTTTGTGTGGTGAATTCAAGAACTTTTGTTGGGAAGTTGTCAGTACAAGTTAACGATATCCTAAAGGCAGGAGGTGCTGATATTTTTGAAACCATGGATTAGCCTGTTATATTATCCAAAATTAAACATATTGGATGTTGGTGATAGTCAAATTATTAAAGATGATAGGAGCATTGTGAAGGTGGTTTTAGAGTTGTTATTTTTTTATTTTTTTATTTTTTGGAAAAGCTTTAGAGGAAGGATTGTTAGAATAAGGTTTACTGTGGAGTGCTCTGGATGGACGCAAGGCAAATTAGCTGGAGAGAGCATTTGAGGAGGAAATAGAAAAGGCGAGTTTGAATCCTGCAAAAGTTATTTTGGATTTGATGGATGGTAAATGGTGTTATTTCATAATGGATTGATAAATGCTATGACTANAAAGAAGATCAAAGTTAAAGGGAAAACTCAAGTTGTTAATGATTGTTTTCATGATGTTTGTGATAATGTTTTAGGAGATCAATGTTTGTTTATACATATTGCTCTTAAAATATATAACAATAAGATTTGGTGTTTTAATAGTGGTTGCTCAAAACGTATGATAGGTGATAAGTCAAAGTTTAGTCATTTTCAAGGTTTTGTTACTTTCGATGATGCAAATAAGTCTAGAACTTGCGCGGGTTTATTTATTATATTTTTTTATTTTATTATCGAATTTTTATATTTTAAGAAATTGTAAACGATTATTGTTTCACAAAAAATATGTCAAATATTGATTATAATAGAACATTTTGTTATTGTTCTTTTTTTTTTTTTAATTGGATTTTTATGTTTAAAGATTGTCGAGAATTGTTATATGATTGCCATTTAAGATGTCGTTAATTGGTCCTTGTGTTTACTGTTTATTAGTGTTGATAAAATAGGGACGATTCACATGCATTCAATTAATGTATGAAGTACAGATCTTTCACATTCCTCTTTTAATTTGATAAAATGCAAGTGATGGAAGATTGGAAATGTCAGTTTGTAATTCAGCAGGAATTGAATTAATTGAATTCAATACATAGAAGTTGAAAGTCCCACAACTTATGAAAGTGATTTTAACACAAATAAATTAATTAATTGAAGAACGAAATAATACTGGAACATTTTAGTGATAGGAATATATTCCTTTTTCAAAGCAAAAGAAGAGTTGCAACACTTTTCTTACAACAATTTGGTACATAATAATATGATTGAAATGACAATTTTGCCCTTCTTAAAATTAGTAGTTCCTGCATGGAATATAAACATTGCTTTGAGGTCCAACAGTTAATCTTTCATCATTTTAAGAGGCTGCCCAACACCATGAAATGAGCAAAAATAAAATAAAATAAAACTTGTCATCCTTCATCCTTCCTCATCCAACACAAACTCTATTGGCCACAAAACACAAACTATTACTAGCTATAGAGTCAACAACAAAAACATGTATAACCTATCTAAGAATGCAAGTTTGCAAATTTTTGATAATAAAATATGCTTCATTGATAAACACTTTGCAATATAACATTGTTTATAAGACACAGAAAAACAAAATAAATGGATANAAAAAGGGCGGACCCGTGAAGACCCACTTAGAATCTTTGTCCTGACCTCCAATCTGGACCAAGAGTCCAAGATTCGAATATTTCACCATTCCCCACGCACAGCACAAAAATTATATAAAGCATATTGGATTTTAGCACTTTTTTATTACTTAAATCTATCCATTTAAGATTGGAAAATAATAATAACAGAATAGTCATATCGATTAATTATAAATTATTTTAAAAAAAAATATAATACCACCACGTTATTTGATGCATAGATTTAATGTGCATCCTTCACTAATTGTAACATTGCTCTTTAAGATTTGTCGATCGTTGACCATATCAACGATTATATTAAAGCAATAATAAAGTATTGAATGGATGCTAAGCGTACACAAAGAAAAAAGTTTGGTAATCTCTGCACATATCAATCCTGAAGATATAAATGTACCACATAAGTTTTTCTGGATAGTTAACTCATTTTTACACTTCTATTAATTAGTCGTATTTTGCACCATAATTTTACCACATCTATGCCATTTGTTAGAATATTTGAAAAATGATATTCTGAAAAACTATTTTAAGTTGGGTTGAGTTAGATTAAATCAAATAAGATAGATTTTGAGAATGTGTTTGGTATAATATCTGAAAATTATATCAGAGTTTAATAAAATGTTATAAAATTGTTTGGTATATTTTTTAAAATCATTTTCTGAAAATATTTAGATTATTTTTAACCCCCTACATTTGTTAATTTAGGTAAGCATCCCCCAAATAAAAGTTTAAAAATTAACAAAAACACCTCTATCCACCCAAAATACAGTTGACTGCCAGCTACCACTGTTGAATGGTAGCCGACAGTCGTCGAAATAGAGCATGACTTATTGGATCTGACTGGTCGTGTGTTGATCTGGCATTTTCCGACTAAATTTACGACTATAATCTAGCTGTTGTTAACAGTTAAAATCTAGTCGTAGATTTGGTTGGAAATGGCCAGATCGACTCACGACCGGCTAGATCCGACCAATCGTGCATCGTTCCAATGCAAATGATCGGTGGTGGTGTTTGAAAAAAGTGAAAAGTAATTGTTTTTAGTTGATTAGAGTTGGAAAAATGTTTTGAGTTGAATAAAATGAGATAATAGTAAACAAGTCCCCCTTCTTTTCATTTCCAATAAGAAAAAATCTTATTTGATTCAACTTAATTTTCAAAATAATGATCCAAATAATTAAATAAACACATATTTTGTTTTTTAATCCAAATAGAATAACAGAAAAATGATTCAAAAGAGTGAAACAAACATGAGCTATATGATGTCCTTTAGGATCATTATTCCCCATATTATGGGAACAAAAATTGTCATGCCTCCCTCTTGGAACCAACCATAGGGAAAAACATGTAATTATGAGATTAAACTCTCTCTAATAGTTTCTTGTAAATCTCCGATCACCCAAAAAAAAGATAATGTTTCTCTTTTATACACTTCTTTTGATAGTGATTAAGAGTGGTTGTTACAAAGTGGATTATACGCATAGTATTCCGTCATTTGAATCTAAATCAAGCATCCCAACACTAAAGCTTGTACAGTATTCATGCTTAATACTGATAAGTTTGTTAATAAATCAAGCATCCCAACACTTAAGCTTGTACAGTATAATTTACATTTCACAAATATTTCATTATAGTCCAGGTTCCAAAATAGGTTCTAAACAGGTTCCAAAACAGGTTCCAAATAGATTTCAAAACAGGTTCCAAAGCAGGTTCCAAATAGGTTCCAAAACAGGTTCCAAACAGGTTCCAAACAGGTTCTAAAGCAGGTTCCAAAGCAGGTTCCAAATAGGTTCCAAAACAGGTTCCAAACAGGTTCCAAAACAGGTTCCAAAACAGGTTCCAAACCGGGTACCCCCTACAGGTTCCAAACAGGGTACCCTTTTTACAGGTTCCGGTTCCGGTTCCGGTTCCTCCACATGCAAGAACAGGAACCGGAACCGCACAGTAGCGGTTCCAAAAAATTGGAACCGGAACCTACCCTCACAGTGCAGGTTCTGTTCCGGTTCCGGTTCTTACCCCCGGTTCCGGTTCTACCCGCTACTCGTGCTCACCCCTACTTATAATCGTATTTCTGAAAAAATTGATTTGAGTTTGAGTTGTTTTTGGGTAAATGCGCGGCTATGTTTGTTTAAGTACTTAGAATCGTATTTTTTAAAAAGTTGATTTGGGTTGAGTTGGTTTTATAAGAATAGGATATGCATTTAAAAATGTGTAATTAAATTTTTGGAAAATATTTTCAAAAAAAGTTTAGATTGTTTTTAACTCTTTATATTTGTTAATTTAGCTAAATACCCCATATAATTTAGCTCAAAGACCAGATCAGTTCACGATCAACTAGATTTAATCGATTATGTGTCATTCCAGTGACTTTTGACCACCGTCCAATGGTGATGGCCGACTGTTGATAATTATTAGGTGGGTGGGAGTGTTTTTATTTATTTATAAACTTTTATTGAGAAAAGTTGAGGTATTTTTGTTAATTTTAAAATTTTTATTAAGAAAATAATTATTAATGTTTTGAGTTGAATATAATAGAGTTGGATTTTGAGAATATCAAAACAATGTATTTTTCATTTTTTTTTGGATTAAATAATAAGATAGGATAGGGTTTGAAATTTGAATAATGCTCCAAACACAGCCTTCCCTTTAAAGCTTTCAAAAATAATATAAATTCACTTATCGTTATATTTTAGATATTAAATCTAATTAAAATTGTCTTTATGTGTAACAATGGACACTGAAAAACAAAACTTTTAGTATATTACATGTAATAGAAATAATTAAATTCTTTGTCATCTCATTTCCTTAGTAGGCCTTAACCGGTTAAACCAAATGGTAATGGGACAATTTAGTAATGTTTACTTACTCATAATAGTATAAATTTTAACAGTTCATTAATGGTAGGTAACAAATTTTTTATTATTTCAGAAACATTTGAAAAAGTTTTATTATTACAGTAATACTACATTCACAAACCCTTCCACTAACTTTCTTCAACAAATGCGATGTGTCAGTTCGCAATGGGTTTCGTCTGACTAAATGCAAACTGATTAATTGTGAACTATCATGTCAGCGTTTGTGAGAGAAAATTGTAAGAAATGTTTGTCAATATATCTTTATTCCTATTATTATATCATACATATGGGGTCTATGTTAACTCCTTTATTATAATATTTGATTATTCTCTATTCCATAAGGTATTAATTATGCAGAAATTCCTTGTATAGCCATATCATTAATTCCAATTTCCAAAATGTCAAGCTATGTTTAAAAAATATATTTAACCATAAAATTGCAGGATTTAACTTAATTACCCTTAATGAAAAATAACACAAATAAAAGCAATGCAAATGTGCTAGACTATCAAATCTATCAAGTCTAGTATGGTCTAGCATGGTTACACATACTTTAATTAGACTATTAAATTATATTATTAAACTAGCTGTCACACCTGCGCGTTGCACAGGTTTATTTATT